TAAGGAAACAGCTTACTAAACAGAATTCTTTATTGCATAGAAAAACAGTGCTTAGAAATTTTCAGTACATTATATTGCATTTAAAATGAGCAATGTGGCCTAAATTTGGCTATATTGCAAAGCAGAGTAAAATATTTTAATTGCTTTATAATGATTTCACATGTATTTTTCATTTACTTCTAGACATTTTATCAGGGTAGGACAAAACAGGAAGAGATCTGGTCTTTTTGAGAGATGAGTGAAATTAGTTAAGTTCATTTTAACAACTTTTTGTTGAACAGCTGTTATATATGCAGGGTCCATGTTAAGGAGTTATTCTTGAAGAAAAGGAACATACAAGGCAGTAAATGCCAAAGAACATCATCATAGAACAAAAAGCAATCAGTGGCCATTCGGTACAAAACAAAAGGTTCAGACTTTACTGCACCAGAGAAGCACCCACAGAATTTCTTAAAATGCTTATTCAAGGGCCCTACCCAAGACTTGCATAACTGATTGGCTCAGTGATTGATGTTTTAACAAGCAACCCCATGATTCTGTTGTGGTTGGTCCTCAGACCACATCTTGCAAAGCATGGGACCAGGGCCTCCTGAGAGGTGTCATTATGTCTTCAGGCTCAAGGGAATTTTCACGGATGAGATGGCACGTGAGAAAAGACTTTCAGGTTGAGAAGAGAATTAAAGGTGAAGAAACATGAGGAAAATTACAAGGAGAAGAAAACTTGGGATGTATTTAAGAGCTTACCTACTACAGTCTTAAAAATAGTTACCAGATAGATACGTGTATGTCATCATTACTGATGGGGGCTAACACTTCTAACCATTACTGATATTTCCTTCTACGTGAAGAGGGTACCCTCAGCCTAACACTAATAGTCTCTTTACTCTTCTTACTTGTTCTGCCCAGGGAGGTAGCGAGTTATATAAATGATAAGTTTGAGAGAGGACCTGGCCTGCCTGCACAGTGCACATACTCTTAATTACTATTCTCATACTGAAAACTGTAAAGAATGGGCTGTGTTGATGAAGGCAGAAAGGGGACAGAGGCAGAGCAGGGGAGAGGCCTGTGTTTGGGAGCGTGTAATATCTAAAACTCCCAATTTCTGCTGCGTGCATCAGTACCTTGAGGGATAAAACAGGAATGAAATTTGAGGGAACACGATACACAAGTGGAGAAACTTTGGGTGGCCAGAACTTGTGGTTTCAGACTTCAATGTGTATTCAGGGAGTTTTAATCTTGGCAGTTTGTAGAGGCTTATATTGGACCATTAATTTGACTTTTATAAATGTGCAATAGGCTTTTTATTGCTATGGTTTTGGCAAGAGGCTTTAAGCCTGAGAGGCACTTGGGATTTCTGAGCTGAAGTTTAGGGTAGCTTTGTCCACAGAAAATTGGTTATTTCTACAGAGGTGGGGTACAATTTTGGACCTTAAATAGAAGTGTGTAGGCTTCAACAAAGAAGCAGGGAGGGGAGTGGAAGTGATGGAGACAGGTTTCAATAAAGGCACAGAATGTGGCCATGTGGTGCCTACCCATATGCTGGCCTCCCAGATGGCCTCAGCTGTATCAGCCAAAATGAAGTTTATCGAGCTATTCTGGCTGTAGTGGTGTTAACAAAGGCATTGGCATGTGCAGGCAGCCTCAGGGTACAGGCTGCTGCAGTTTAACCTTGAACTACATTTAAATTCATGTATGAGCATCAGGGGCCTCATCAGAGGCTGCAGAGACACCAGAATGCAAGTTCATTTGAGGCAAGAATTTAATGATGGAAAAATATTTATAGATATGCTAAACATTAATGACTATATCAGTATTTGCTATTTTTGAACATCAAGGCAGAGGACTTGTAGGCAATACAGAGCTCTAGCAAAGTTCATGGTTTACACTGTCCATGCCAGTCATAAAATGCAGTGTAAAAGAGCAAATTTTGAATATAAAGAGATTTTGATTATACTAGATGGGAAAGATCAGGACCACAAATGAGACCTAGTGACTGAGACTGCACCACTGCAAATCTGTACTTTGCAAGATAGCATCGGTGTCTCAACTGCCACTCTGAGGGAAGGTACAGTGTGCCAGGCAAAATGCATGCTGATAAATTTAACTTCTTGCTGAAAAATTTCTTCCAATTTAGTCTAAGTGTGCAGGGCATAGACCCCTGACAATGGGCATGAACTGATTGGCATTCTGATGAGGCTCAAGCCATCCTCAGTTATCCCCATTCCTACAGACCCATGAGTTTCCACTGTAGAGTTTCAGTAACATGTTGTCTGACAAAAATAGCTACTGGGTCTGGGAACATAATTTTGTCCAGGTGTGAAGCAAGTGTTAAGATAGCCATGAGTATTCTGTTACTTCTTTAGACCTTTTAAAAATTGAGACACCCCATAGACTTGATGCTGAATTAATTTAACTTTTGAGGAGCTGAAGGAGCTACATCCATTTCCAAGAAAGACACACAGGCTGCAGCTGCTGTTGGAATCTATGTAGTCACTAATGTTTCTTGTTGTGAGTTGAACAAAATAAGAAACTGGGAGGTACTTTAATTTCATTAGACTTCTACCACATAAGGGCAAGAACACTAGATTCTGGGTTGTGATTTTATTGCCTTTGCACATTAACTTGAAAGGTAATTTAATAGATTTTTTTTCTCCCTAGGAGTTTGAGAGGGGGAATATATAAAATACGGGACATCACATTTTGCTGGCAGTTTAACATGGGGCTCTCTTTAAGTATTTGGGTAATTGCCACTGAGAACATCTGATTGAATTATCCATGGCACTGAGAGAGCTCCACCCCAAAGGGCACATTTCATGGGCCTAGTGACCTCGGGGTCTCACAAATAGTAGATTTCTTAAGGTATAATCAATTGAACGTATTTAAAATGTATAATTTGGTGATTTTGGGGACATGTATACACTCATGAAACCATTCACAAATCTGTCATCATTATCTCCAAAAGTTTCCTCATGGCCCTGAAATCTATGATCTTGCTAGTCTTGCAGCTTTTACTGATTTTAATTGTGTGTCTCTGTTCCAGCAAACTTAACTGAGACCTGCTCTATAACAGCATTATGAAATTAAATGTTTGCCAGGTGGCACCACATGAGAGCAACCCAAATTGTGGCAGTTCCTTCACGGTACTGTCCTCTCCTAGTGCAATGTTAGATCAGATTTCTTGTACCCTTTGGGCTAAAGACTCTACTGATAGGAGTAGAATATTTGAAACTGGCCTACTAAGATTCAAATGAATCCTTATAACCGT